AATAATTTTAATAATTTAATATTTTTCTTGTCTTATCCATTACTTGTATGAATACTTGTATGTATTAAATGAGTGTAAATGAATTTTGAATTTGAAAAATTTCACTTTTTGAGTTCAGTCATCTTACGTGCAAATGGCTTAAATGGCGCCAGTGTTTGCCACAGACTATCTTACAGTATAAATCAGTTAATATTTCCGATCAATTAGCAAAACCCATGGCTCCTTTCGGTCATGACGCATGTAATTAAAGTTCACCGTTTTGTCCGAAATCCTCTTTTTGATTAGGTATGCACTTAGGAAAAAAACGTTTGGGGAGAACGTCGAACGGCGATTTCTCGAAGGGAGATTGCACGACTGAAAGGAAACGATGTTTTGACAAACTTAATCCATAGCAAGTGTTTAACAGAGACTATCTTATAAATGAGTTATTATTATTTCCCTTCAAATAGCAAAACCCATGGTTCCTCTCGGTCGTCCAATCGACTTTCGACAATTAACATTAGCCATGCATTTTCAGTATTCGACAACCTATCTTGAAATGGGTATATATATCGTCAAATCAAATGATCAACAAAAACATCACGTGCTATGATGAGATATAGATGAAGCAGGCGTTCTCGGTCATTGTTCATTTACAAAATTATGTGCCAAAAAATCATTATTTTATGATTTTTGTTGTTGTATAGTGTTTTTACTTTCCTTACAAAACTTCAMAGCTTTAGCCAATCAGAACCAACAGCTATTCATATCATTAGGTCTTTAACATCGTTAATCATAATCATAACAAAGTCGGATGCATAGTGACTTCAATGGAGAAAAAGACTTTTGTTTAAAAATAGCCGTCAAAATTGTATAATCTTTCGACATCTTGAGACCATAATTATTTTTACTCAAATCCTCATTTCAGCTGATTATTTCATTTGTAAAGCCCTCATTAACTTGCTTTTAAACAAAAAGCTCAAGTCCATTACATACTAATGTGCACTGGTAAGTTTGTGTATATGTGCCTASTGCGAAAGAAGCATGGTTTAGTCGGGGCTCTTTCATGTTTGATAATATCATTTTTATTCGCTATATACCGCCATGTTTAACGAGCTCGTAGCTTAATTAATAAGATATTTACAAACTGCACTGCTCAAGATAAAAGATTCAGAGCTTTCGATATGGGATATTTACTTTATCTCCCTGAATGTTTTATATTAGTGTTTGTACTTCACATTTATGAAATTTTATGAATTCTAAAGGTCTACAAAAGAGCCGATTTTTTGAATAACATGGATTTGTTATTTATATTACTATTATATCTTTTTCTAAAGAATGCGTGCTGTTTTAATGCAGTTTTGCTTTTTACCTTTGATATGATAAACAAAATTGTGAGAGTCCCAGACATTTTACAAAATGTCAATTTAAATGTTTTGGACCCTCAATGTTTTTGAACCCTTCAATTCCTAATGTCGAACTTTTTCTATTTCAAGAGAAAAATTGCATTTAGGTTTCACAATAAGAAGTACTCTCCCCTCTGTAGAAACAGACTGAGTTTATCTTTTAACTCACCCTTAATGATATTGGAAAACTCTGAGCTGGTTTTAATTTGAAAAAAAACAAAAAACAAAAAAAAAAACAACAACATTGTTTTCCAAATAGTGGCGATTTCAGTTAGGCGAATCTGTCTCCACCTGATCAAACTTTTCAATATGGAAGATGCGCTCTCCCCCAAAGTTAACTCTTGTTTTTCGAGWTTTTGGTACCCAACAGATTTCATTGTCAATGTTCCCATCGTTAGTATCCTTGTTRMCAACTCCCATGCGATGTTCATTTTTTGCGAGTTGAATATTATAGTTGTAAATTTCCGATGAATCGCTCTCGTAGTAGCGCTGTTCCCACGGGGATCCTCTCAGAAAAGCTAGTTTATTCGCCTTATTTCTCTTTCCACGTAAAGCCTTTCTACGGGCTTGAGAAAAGCGCCTCTTGCGCTTGTAATTTTGTATTTTTTCCCTTGCAGTTTCTGTTCCAACACAGACAGATACCTTGCATTTATGACAATTACAACATGGCAGGAGACTAAAAMTATCCTTGCAATATTGAGAATGGAGAGACATAAAAATAAAAGGGTTGATCGCGGAATTGGCGTAAATCAAGATGTTACAGAACACCAATATGGTTGTAAAATGCTTATAGCTTTTTCCAGAACCAAAGTCATGCCAGATCCACATGATATGGTTAGGAACCATACATACTGCAAATACAATAACAGCCAGGACAAAAATCTTGACAATCCTCATGTTTCGTTGTGCTCTGGCTTTAATCAACTGCTTTTTTCCTTGGTTAGGAGACTTTCCAATGGCCTTCTTTATTCTCTGAATGTCCTTCCAAAGTTTAGAACTAATAGCGACATAATTAGTTGTTATAGCAAATAACGGTAGAAGAAAAAGAACAATAAACACAGCGAGGGTGAATATCTTGGCATGACTTTTCGCAGGCCAGTTTTCTATGCACGCACGGGAATCATTGGAGTACTTAACATCAAGTATAGCAGCGTATGGACCCATAAGTGATATACTAAATACCCATACAACACATATACCTCCAACCACTAGGCATCTTTTAACTTTCGGCATAAAAGGTCTGATTATTGCYCTTCGTCTCTCTAAGCTCATGCATAGCAAAGTATAGACTGAAACAGATATTAGGATTGTTTGAAGTGGATACACGGTCTTACATAGATACATACCAAATGGCCATTTTCCTATCAGCACCTCGACAAAGTCAAACGGAATACTTATGAGACACGTTGCCAGATCTGTGGTGGCCAGGTTGAGAATGAAGCAGTCGTGAACGCGAAGTCTTGAACGTCGCCGCACGGCAACGCAGATCAAAGCGTTTCCTGCTAAGCCGACTACGATGATTAGCGGAAAGCACATTAGCTGGACTGTTCTCATGTCAAAGCCAGTATTTTCCTCAATGTTGCTCTTATTATGACTCATTTTAGACTGATTTGCGAAAGGAAAAACGGAAGCCGGTGTCATTTAAATTTACTTCCAGAAAAATCACTTGAATCTGATCATCTTTCACTGATGCGTTAATTTTCACCTCTCTTGGTCGCTTGTCCACGCTCGACTTGTGGGCCTTTTTTGGTCTCGCGGTATCTGGCAAGAAAGATAAATTATAACCGCAAATATCAAATCTAAACAACTTTACACATACATTTTCATAAAGTACTTGTAATATGGATAATTTGTAAAGTACCTATTAAGGCATACAAGGCCAGATGTTAGGCTTTCAAGTCATCATGTCTGTACTATCAATTTGGAGTTGAGTAAAGGAAATTGCTAAAGATGAGCTGCTTTCTCTTAAACCCCTCTGCVGAAAAAGCGAGGGAGAATATTTGATACGATTCTATTGGTCAATATAATGACAATTAGAAACTTGCGATTGCATCACGGTGAAGACAACGGAAATCGCTTTTGCAAAGCTTTATTCAAAGCTTAATCTCGAATCTCTCAGAGTTTTAATTAACGAGTTACAACACATTAGATGTATAGTGTTTTTGTCAGGTGACAGTGGCTCCCGCACTTAGATTATGGGAGCCAGGAAAACAAAGTAAAAAAAGCAAAGAACCTATGGTTATTAAAACAGAAAAAATATTAACTCAGACTCAATTTCATTTGGGTGAGTGTGTCCAAACCAAAACAAACCCGAAACATAAAAGATATATGCTATAATAGAAGAGTGTTATATTAGAATAGCAAAAAATACAAAATAAATAAATAAAAAGCAAAATAAAAACAAAAAAAAAATAAAAACAAAAAAAAACAAACCACTAACTAGAATTTCAACCTCAAAAGACACAGCAAAATGGAAGACTTATAAAACAATTATATGACTGCTTTTAGTTAAATTCAGTGGAAATTTACTATTTTTTAATCGTTACGTTGAAACAAAGAATATTCATTACACTAAAAGGGTTTGTGAAAATTATTCAAGCACTTGCCCATGAAATTACAGCAATTTTGTTCTTTTGTGTTTTGTTTTGGTGCATGCATGTGAGAAGTTTGAAAAGTCATTAGAATCTCTAAAAATGCCAAAAGAGAGCTGATGAAGCCAAAGGATTCAGTTTTTCCTAATGTTTTTATAACTTCCTAATTCCCATTCTTATAATGCGCAAATTATCGTGTTATGACTTCTTTGTTTATTTTCATCACAGCCGGTCGCAACGCACGAGAAATCTACGCATAAAGATATCAACAAAATTGATCTTAAATTTCACAATTTTTTCAGCTCAAAATTGATCCGGCTACTACACAGTATTTAAGCTTCTTGAAATTTGAAAAAAAAAAAAAAAAAAAAAACAGACATAAGTACGGTCATTCTAAAAACCCTGTTTGTCTGACCACAAACTCCTCTACTGTACCCCCCAATCCGCAGTTTGTTTTTTTTTCCGAGTGAGTCAAAATCGAGTCATTGAAAAGACCTGAAAAGTCTCCACGTTTTTGGATATTTGTAGATATATGTAGCCACATATGTGTTAAATATATGATAATTAGCARTATGGGTTTTGTTTGCGGAGTGGCATATCAATTTCAGCGGTTTTACTCATCAGTGACTTAATCTAAGGCAATTCAAAGCAATTTGTGTTTCTTTGAGGACTGCTTAAAACTATGTCAATTTTCAAAGATTTTTACACCCTAGCGGAATACAGATTTTACTGTTCGATACTGAAGTCCGTCGCAGAAKCCATGAAAACATAATGAATTTGRAAAAGAAATTTCCAAATACCGCCCTAACCTAACCTCGAATGCAGCCGGTATGTTGACTAAGCCGAGAAAAGCATTGCGTGACAAAGGTACGGATTCACAGAAGGCCAGAGCTTTGAGCCGATGCAAAAAKYTTTGTGTATTATTAATCAATGATTGCGAGAAAAAAAATTAACAGCCTTATCACGATTTCTAATATTGTCCTTTTTATGTGCGTTATTGCAAATCAGTCATGGAAGTCAATACCCTGGTTCCAGAGGTTTTTTGGAGCGAAGCGCCGTATTCGAGCTATTCGTGCCAACAAAAACAATAGAGCAAAGAGAGAAAATATCAAGCCTCTGGAACCAGGGTGTAAGTTAAGGTAATCGTTKCAACAAGAGTATACGCACTGCCTGCATGGAAGTCATTGATTTTTTATTTTTAGCTAAATCTACCGTTGAAATTTGTCATTACCAACTACTTTGAAACGGCAAATGAGATTTTGAAAAACAACTTCGAATACTCTTAAACGGTTATCTTAGAAGATCGACCTACTATATTGCTGTAATCATCGCTTACTTCAATTCAAATAATCTTGATTATTATTAGTCTCTTAAGAACCATTAATAGAGTCGATTTCGATCAATCATCGAGACACTTCCAAGATGGCGACACAAATATGAGCAAACAATGAATAAAAGCTTTTATATGTATAATTTGTGTCGCTACCGCGATAACGTACGATATGCGACTCCTACTCCTACGAAAAACGATAATTTTTTAGCGCTAACGGAAACGGAAAAAGATGACAGAAGATCGATTGATGTTATGAACAAATATGATCATTAAAATGATTACATGTTTTTATAAGACTGTAGAGCGGTTTCTTGGTCTAATCAAGCTGCAGCCCACAAAAAAAAATAACTAGCTCTTTTTAATACGAACGGAAGATGTAGTGGCAGATCAACAAACAGTTTGGAAAACATTTTTTGACCATTAGATATATTATCATATCATTAAGAMACTTATAGAGCAGATTATTTGGTTTAACAAAGCATTATGAGAAATAAAATGTGAAAAGTAGAAATAAATGTGAAAAAGGCCTACGAAAATGTGTAGTGGCGACARATAAACAGAAATTCTGGAAACAAAAACTGTTGAAGTGAGCAAAATCTTATATATCATTTATAAGAGTTTGAAATACTGAAATATTCGACTGAGTCGAATTTAGATTAAAAGTCGCACGAAATACGCCGATCCMGAATCAAAACACGACTTTTGACGAAGAAATTACTGACCAGCTCTTCAGTTGTAGCTTTGGTATTTATGAGAGCTTCAAAGCAAGAAATGATTTAGTCTTTAAGGGCTAGACAACCCTACGAAAATARCGATGGCCAACGGAAAGAAATTGATGGATATTGAGACAAAAGGCTCACTTATTTGAATTATTATAGTTGGTATCATATCAGTTTAAAACATTTCTAGAACAGTTTTGTTTGACGGTAAGTGGAAAAAAGCATCTGGAAATTAAACTCAATGATCATATATTTATATGTATTTTTTGCGTGAATGGACCGATATCGATAAATGGACATTAAGAAATCAGCGATGGTCCAGATTGTTTTTATATTATTTATAAGATCTGTACTGGGAACGTTTCAAACGGTGTTTGTCTGTATTCACTACTTGAATAACATTCCGTATATATTGTAAAAAAATAGAAGCCGAAATTAGTCTRCGCATGCGTTTCGCGCAGCGGTAGCTCCACTTTCAAAGACCATAATCTAATGTACACATTTAATAAWAACAAGATGTTTTTGGCTGTTTATGTTTTCATATTTTCCGTAGATGTGGTCTTTTGCGGTAATAAAATCTTGCAATGACAGCGCAGATCGATTTTAGGAAAAAAACAGGAACGCATTGAAAATAACAAACAATCATTTGGAAATAGGTAAACAGAATATCAAATTATTTAACAAAAAATGCAACAATATGTTTTTATTTATGTTTCCATTGTCATCAAGCATTTTGCACTATGGATCTTTTAGAAAATAAGAAAGAAAGATTTTTTAAGCGAAATAAACTGCAGTTGATATATCTTTTCCTCGCAAAATTCGATGTACATTTGTTTTATTTTAAAGGGGAGACATGACGGAGTACGTGGTCAAAAAGTGCTTAAATCCTTGATTTGCCATTTGTATGCATTAAAGTTTCGCAGGTGTGTAGACTACTTTGATATGAAATCCGTCTCATTGAAGTTTGCCGCGACCTAACAATTCACAAAAAGTAAATCATATCGCCCTAAGCAACTATTTTATTAAAATACAAAGACCCTTAATTAGAAAACAGATTTATTTGGACGTTAAAGTGGCACTTATTAGCATGTTATGGACGTTTTAGCTGTGCTACACTTTTCACAATGTGGAAAATGCAATTCTTGGAAATATAATGAAATTTAAAGAAAAGAAAAAATATTATTTGTCATAAAACAGACTATTTTACCTTGAGAATAAAAATTGATGAAAATAATTTGATATCTTCTAAATATGACTTTAATATGTAGAAAAAATACCAAGTCCATTTTCACAAACTGTCACTTCAGATTTGGCTTATTTTAACTTTTTTTTTCTCAAATAGATTTTGGTTTGAGAGCATTGTGACTTGTACTACCTTAACTTAGCWAGACCGCATAAAATGGCAACAGAGTGGTCACTACGGAAACACTGACTGTACATAAACAACTTTGAGCAACATAGCATGCAAATGTATAGAGTCAAAAACTCAATACAGGCTTATATGCTCCTCAATACATTACAAAACCATGCCATTTTTTGAAATCACTTTGTGCTATTTTTTCGAGAATGCCATTCATACGGTCACGAAATATAATGTGCACTTCGACCACTCGACCACCGAGCGCATTTTTACCTCGCGATATTGGAAAATTAGTGTTGGTAAAAGCGATACGCTAATGTTAAGTGTCAAGAGTAAGAAAAGAACACTTAGGCCAAAATTGCTACTGGCTTCTATGAAGAACAAAAAAAAAACAACAAAAAATCCCACACACAAAAAAAATACGTATTAAAATAAAAATGCTTTTCATGCAAAAGAGATTACCAAGGATATCTTACAAAATGTTCAAGTCTTTAAGATACACTCGGATTTTCAAAATGGTTGTCAAAATGAAAATTGCATAATTAATCATTTGTCGAAATTTTTATCTATTTCTTTTACCAAGAATTTATATTACTTACAGGCATAAAACTGGATTACATCGTACCTAAAGGGAAAATATATGGTGAGGCCATCTGCGTAATGACTTGTTGTTTTCTCATTAACGTTTTCAACTCAAATATACAATTTGTCTGCCTTTTTTAACTGAGTTTGCWGCGAAGAATGCATTTCAAACTCACTTCAAATTAAACAGGGTATCACTTTGATAATTTAACTCGAGCAGAAACTTTATTTTGAAATACAAGAACTGTACACAGGATAGACACTAGAGCAAAGTAAGAAACGGAAGACGTAGGGWAACAAGATAATGACAACAAAGTTAGTTAGTATAG